GAAAATAAGTCATGAATATATTATAAACAGAATCCTAACGTTTATGATAAAGCTATTTGGAGAAATGGAACAAACTTGGCCTGCTCTATTTTGGCTCACAGGAGGTTGTCTTAACTTTAAGGATCCTGTGAGACGTAAATTTATTCTTACAGCTAGGAGAAAACACCTGTTGAACCTTTTGAGATAAATTAATTTGCCAAGAGATTAAACTGCTTCATTTGCTATTCCTGAAAAACAGTGAGAATCATCGGCTTGTGTAGCCATATCTAAAGGGACTGTGCAACATTCTCACTGTATGCCTTTATGGGTTCTCTGACCTTATATGAAACGCTTCAGAAATGAAACTTGTCAAACATTCCCTTAGGAAGGCCCTGTCACAACCTACTACTTTGCGGGGTTCTTTCTTCAATTCTTATTTTTAAAACCCGTATTTGTTTGACTCAGTAGACACTACTTGATTTTACCAAATAAGTATCCTTTATTTTTATATGTTTAAGTGAGAAAATTGTCAGTGTCTTGTGAACTAATACACAATGGTATTTGTTGATACCTACCATTATTTCTTCCTTTCTCTTTAAAAGGTTTCTGCTTTGTATCTTGTAACCACTATTCATCTATTACATCTACTATTTGCCCTACAATACATCTCTCACCTCCCTAACTTATTTACTTACTAGAAAACCAAATACAGCACATTAAAAAATAATATTTTGTTTGTAAGTCTGGAGAACTTCTAGGAAATCTCACTCAGACAATGATAGATATTTGATCACTGATAACTATAGAAAGGGCTTAAGCTACCAATTCTCTAACATTTTTAATAGAGAGAGAGTAATGACATATTCTACCACATTGCGTTTCTCTCAGAATTCTTTTAGAGTAAAATAAATAAGATATATTCATTAAAATATTGTATGCTTTATCTACTGCTGCCATAACAAATGAGCACAAATTTGGTGGCTTGAAACAAGGCAACTGGTTATTTTACAGACTTGTAGGTTAGAAGTCCAACACAGATCTCACCAGACTAATGACAAGGTGTCAGCAGGGCTGTGTTCCTTTCTGGAGACTCTGGGGCAGAATCTGTTTCCTTGCCTTTTCCAGCTTCTAGAAGATGCCTGTATTCCTTGGCCCATGGTCCCTTTCCTCCACCTTCAAGGTCAGCAAGCACACCTGCTTGCTCACAGGCATCACTCTGACCTTCTCCCATAGTCACATCTCCATCTGATTTTTTCTCCTGCCTTCCTCTTCCACCTCTAAGGGCTCTTGTGGTTCCATTGGACCTACCCAGGATAATCTCCCCATCTCAAGGTCCTTAACTTCATCACCTCTGCAAAGACTCCTTTTCCACGTAAGCTCACATATTCAGAGCTTCTGAGGATCAGGAAATCAAGAGGTGGACATCATTGAGGGCCATTATTCTGCCTGTTACAAAGGTATTCAGTTGAGTTCTTGGTGTATAAATCTTATCTAAATCATCCAAGTTCTTACTAAATGCATCTATTAGTTTGTATATGAATAAATTTTTGTTAAATTAGCTTGTAGTAATAAAAGAGCAGTTGGCTTTATAGCATAATCTTTGTGTTGAATCACGGTTAACTGTAATGTTAACCCCCAGCCTTGTAGAAGGTGACAGGAAAACATATAATTTTAAAGATAGTTCTTATATATAAAAAAAAAGTCTGAAGGAAAAAAAGTGAATATTTATTTAATTCCTATGCCAAATCGAGAAATTCACACAGTGTGTGGAGCAACAGAAGAAAAAGGAGAGTCAGGAATAGGAGGAAGATACGGAATGTGTGCCTAATTGCCTCCATGAATAACTGCCTCCTTTGCCATGAGACTAGAACTGGATGGTGCCCGGCTACCATTACTGAACATTTTGGTCAAAGATTTTACAGAAAAATTCTGATCAAAAGGGGGAAAATTCAGAACAGAATTTTTAAATTCTAATGGAATCCAGACTTTATGGATCCATAGAGGCTGGATAAACCTCTGAAACTATTGCCCTGAGATAATCTTTAAACCTTGGACAAAAAAAAAAAGTCTTAAAACCAAACAGTTGTTTAACTTAACTAGTAAAGAATATCTGCCTTGAGCATTATGCTTTTTTAAGAACTATCTATATGGAATCAAATTGACAACAGCAACTTGGAAGATTAGATCAGAAACTTGGGGGGCAGTGAGTTTATGTTAATGAGGGAGGAACAACTCAGAAAAGGAGGGTGAGAATGATTGCACAACTCAAAGAATGTAATCAATGTCACTGAGTTGTACATATAGAAATAGTTGAATTGGTGTCTGTTCTGCTGTGTATATTCTCAACAACAAGAAAAGAAAAATAAAGAAATTCATGCACGTAAATCTACTTTGGAGTGTGAGTCATTCGCATGACTTGACTATAGCCATGGGAAATGAATGATATAATTTTTAAGATGTCTTCTGCAATTGATTCTGTATTAAAGGAATCTGCACAGGAGATACACTTTTTTTTTTTTGAAACTTTAGTTACACTAGGTTGATATACATCATCTAAGTATCCTACTGCTCAGTATTTTCACAAATTGCCTCATAAACACTAGCGCAGACGGTTGAGAAAACATCAAAGAATAATAATATTTTGTGACACGTAAAAATTATGTGAAATACAAATTTCCGTGACCGTAAGTAAAGTGTTATTGGAACACAACCGTTCCCGTTCCTTTGTGTATTATCTATGGCTGCTTTCACACTCTGCTGGCAGAGCTGAGTACTTGCAGCAGACACCAAATGACCCACAGAGTCTAAATTATTTACTATCTGGCCTTTACAGAACAGTTTGCTGACCCTTGTACTTAAGCAAAAGTGATGTTTTTTTTGGTATGTGTTTGGAAAATGTGGGGATAAAGAGAGGTTTTAGAACAATTACAGTTGTTGGTACTCGACTAAAATGCAATTTCACCTTGTTTGTGAGAAGAACCTCTGGAAAGTAAACTAAGGAAATATATATTTTTAAAGTAAAGATGAAATAAGCATGGATTTCAGTTATGAAAATTTCAGTAAGTAAATGTAAGCGAGCTGGATAAACTGGATTTTAGAATCCAAAATTTACTTCTGTCTTGGACATTCTCAGTGTCAGACAAAGCAGCATGTGACCTCTTTTTAACAGAATTTGTAACAAAACCTCACCAGGAAAACAAAACAACACCTTCAAACAACACATTGGAATACTCAAACGTTTCTTGGAGTCAGCTCTGTCGGACAGTCACCAGTCAGTACTACATAAATCCAAGTAAATAGGCACATCTGAGTGGTGAATTTTCTCTTACAGAAGATGACTTCTAACAGTGACATAAACACTGTTGCAATTTGTTACAGTCAAGGTTTGGCTTTAAACTTTAAATGGATACTGCACATTTTGAAACCTGGGAGTTGAAATTGAACACCCTGACATCAGAAAGCTTGACTACATATTTAATTTGATGCTACTTTTCCTCCAGGTAACAGAATAAGTAGCCAACCAATATGTACTGAAGCCTGTGCATAGGAATGAGATTTCCTTGTTTGACTAAGAGCAGCTGTGTTGTCCATAGGAAACCCACAAAGAGCAGAGTTCCTTGGGGTTTCAGCTAAAAGAGGCTGGTTGGACCCATACAGATGATCTGCATGAATGAGCTTCATTTTAAACATAGCTTTGGCAACGGTGATGCAAAATAATTGATTTTGTATCTATAAAATGCATAACCACATACAGGTAACATTTAAGATGTGATTTAGGAATATTTATAAGTATATGCAAATATATATATAAACATATATATGTGATCTCTTAGAACCCTATAACATCCAGTACAGACTGGTAAACTGAGGTCCAGAAAAGAGGACCAAACAGTGGAGCCACAACTAGTAAAAAGCAGACCCAGCACATAAACCAATGTCTGAAGATGCCTGTATCCAGTGATGTTTATACCAGCGCCCAAAACTTAGTTTACCATTCAGACCTCTAACTGCCAGGAGCTTTACTATCCGAGAACCCTTGTCTTTTTAGTGGTGCTTGAAGTTTTCAGTTCCCCGCGTTGTTGTTAGCTGCCATGGAGTTGACCCCCGACTCGTGGGTGCCCCATGTGACAGAGCAGAACTGCTCAGCAGGGTTTCCTAGGCCGTAATCTTTATGGAAACAGTTCTGCGGAGTCGCTTGGTGGATTCAAACCGCCAGCCTTTGGGTTAGCAGTCAATTGCAAACTGCGTGCACCCCCCAGGCTCCTCCAAGTCACCAAAGGAAGAATTAAATGACTGGATGGTTGCTGACAGCAGAACTACGCGCTGTAAAGTGGGCTGGAAATTGTAAACCACAGAACCCTAGAGGGACTGCAGCTAGTTTTTAACAGATTTGATTGTGTTTAACATACTACTCTACTAAGACGGAACTGTACTGTGTCTTGCATCTCTTTGACAGCGCTCGTCATCATTCCCATACACACGCCTCTTCTTTACCTCCATAGGGAGGGCCCTCGTGTGAAGTCTGCATTGTAAACCGTTCCCTTGCCTCTACTTCGGTTACACATAGGGCTGCTAGAAGTCAGAGCCAACTCAATGGCACCTAACAACAACAAGTTAATAAGTTAATCAGAATTGCTGACAGTTCAACTATCCAAACAGAATTTTATCAATTGCCTGTGTTTTTTTTTTAAGGTTCATTATGAATTGGCAGTAGATTGAGGTCCCTATGAAAAGAAATAAAAATCAAAAGAATGCCTTCACATTTCTCCATCACTAAAAAAGAAGAATCAACATATCAAATATTTGTGAAAACTTTCATTCTATCAAGGATAAATATAGCATTTATACTTTGACAAAGATAAAAATACCTGAATGATTTTAAGTCTTAAATGCTAAGTAATAAGTGACTTGTGTCTTAAGTGTCTCAAAATTGAAGAATGTCCAACTTTAGAAAAAGGTCTGATGTAGGACTTTTGCTCTGTTGGTTTACAAGGGAGATTTCTTTCCTCTCTGTTTTCCAGGCTGACGGGCATGAATCTTCCTTCTCCTGTTATCAGTAGCAAGAATTGGTTACGACTCCACTTCACGTCTGACAGTAACCATCGCCGCAAAGGCTTTAGTGCTCAGTTTCAAGGTAAGAATGGTGTGTAAAAAAGAACCGTTTTGGTCCTGAAATGTTAGGATTCTCTTGCTAAGGATGGAACAAGAGACATAAGCTTGAAAATATCTTATATCCCTTATATGAACAGGTAACTTTGGAAATTGTATGGGTATCAACTAACAACTTATTAGTAAAGCTTAATTACTGTGACAATACACAGTAAATTTTCTTGTTTTCCTTGAACTTTACTGTTTTAATCAATAAATATATATCAGCATTATTGTAAATCCATACATCTAAACAGTAAATGGATCAGCAGTTTGAATCCATCAGTCTTTCCTTGGAAACAGTATGGGGCAGTTCTACTCTGTCCTTTAGGGTCACTATGAGTTGGAATCAACTCAACGTCAATGAGTTTGGTTTGGTTAAACAAGTAAATATCCACAGTGATCTATTTCTTTACTTCACTAGCTAAGAATGATATAGAATATAGGTTGCATGGAAATGTATAAACTGATCATACCACTTTTAGTCCTAAAATGGGTCACATTACATAAATCCAGTCACCTGATTGAGTTATTTACACATAAGTGAACCCCTATAGAAACACACTAATTTTGTGTACTTGAGCAAAAAGGAGAAGCTTTAGTTCCCTAAAATGTAGAGTTGATTCTGAAATTTTCTCTTTGTACCTAATTTCTAGAGTTTACACTCAGATAGTATTATATCAGTTCCTATACTTTTCTAATAATCAATAACCCTTATTAATAGAGTGAAAAACCATCCCACTTGCATTTGCAAATAAAAAATTGTATGATTGCGCCAAAAAAGAGATGTCCTTCTGTTTAAAGCAAGATTCCTTCCCAAACTAACTTCTCAAGCTTCCCCTGAATCATGACCTTGAGGGTGTCAGTTCAGTTAAGGCCGCGATCACTGAACACCTGCCACATGCCAGTCAGGATGCCACGTGCTGAGCTGGACCGCAAGACAGGGAAATTGTTACAATTGTTACAATTGTACTCCAGACAGTAAGTCAGAAGGATAGTATGTAAATCACTCCATGGAAGGCAGAACACAAAAGAAAATCATTAGAGCTACTTAAGGAGATTTTTAATAGTATTTTCACAAATTGGTGTAGGAACATCTCTTACCTTAAACACATTTTAAAATCTGTGACTCTTTCATGATGTCCTCTTGGACAAACAGAACAATAAGAGAATTTTCGGGGACTTAAATACAGGCTGCTTTAAAGAAAGGCACACGGAAGCGGCCAGATATCTAACTTGCTACCCACTTCCTGGGGCGTGCCCGCGTTAGCGCCCAGGAGAAGGTTTTGTGTCACCGACATACATTTTATGCGTCTTCAGGAGCATCGTCATCTCACTATTCCTTCTGATATTGCCGTAATGTTCCTTCCTTTATCCCCTTTGATGGTAAATAAACAGCCCTGAAGTTTCACTCAAGGAGCCCTGGTGGGGCAGTGTTTAAAGCTCTAGGATGCTAACTGAAGGGTTGGCGGTTCAAACCCACCAGCTCCCAGGTGGAGGAAAGACGTGGCAATCTGCTGGCATAAAGACTTAAAGCCTTGGAAACTCTTTGGGACAGTTCTACTCTGTCCTAAAGTTTCGCTTTCTTTACAGGAGTCATACTAATTGTTTTTCACTTATTCTGGGACCTAGACAAGGCTGAACTTTTCCTTTCTCACACCTGCCTTTATTCTTTAAGGCCATATACCCTAAATAATATAGTCATAATAAAATAATCTCAGTAAGGGCATATTGGTGGGGTGGGGGGGGTGAGATTAGATAGGGACATGGTGGATGGAGTAAGGCTCCATGCAGTTTTATGGAAAATTCTAACTGAGGTTTCTCTATAATAACATGCATTTAAGCATTTATTTACCTGATATAAAATAATCATAAATCAGTATTTAAAATGACGATTGATCGTGTAGGTAGTTGGAATCTCTGGGTGTTGCAAATGGTTAATGTGCTTGGCCACTAACTGAAAGGTTGGAGGTTCAAGTCCACCCAGAGGTGCCTTGGAAGAAAGGCCTGGCAATTTACTTCTGAAAAATCAGCCATTGAAAACCCTATGGGCATACTACTACTGTGACATACATGAGGTCACGATGGGTCAGAATTGACTTGACAGCAACTGGTGATGATCATTAGCTAGTTAGGTAGGATTATCAGTTATTTCTAAACAGTTGATTGATCTTACCTAAGAGCCTTCATTCCTTCATTGGCATTGTGCTACAGAAAAACGTCTTGGCATTGTCCATTGAGCCTGATCAGCGCACTTGGCATTTCTATCTGTGATTTAAAAAAAAGACAAAAATAGAGCATCAAAGTTGAAGCTACTTCAAATTAGTAAATAAAAAAACATACTGTTTAGCAGAAAATTACAATATCTTAGACACACCAGGCTAATGATTTTAAAAAATAAATATATATAATTAAAGAGAGGTGAGTAGAAAATTTTGCGTGTAAGTCTAAAGAGATAAAATAGTGTAAAAATATAAGGAGGGATAAACATTACTTAACAGTAATCCATGGGAAAACTTCTCACTCAATTTCCACATTAAGTGTTGTGTTGAAGCACCAGTTTGTGGTTTAATTGGCACATAGGCTTCATTGAGCAGGAAGCACCATGCCTAAGGCCACATGTAGGCATACCATACGTGGAAGGCTGGATTCAGTCCTGGATATCAGGCTTTTAAGAAGCAAACTGACCAGATAGAGAGCTAGGAGGACCGTGACACGAACCATCCGAAGACTTAAGAGGAGCATGATAAATACCGTGCAGAAAGGCATTACATTTACTTTTCTGGTTGCAGAGGGCAGGACTATGACCAATGAATGGAAGCTACAGGGTAGCTGCTTTTGCTGATTCCAGGGTAATGTCTAGCTCAGCTAGAACAACCATGAGGCCATGAGAAGGCAGAAGACAGGGCAATAGCTTAGGCTGTGACTGGCCCCCATTCCGCTGATCGCTGATAACTGGCCGACTTCCAGCTTTCTGAAACTAGGCGACCTCATGGTTATTCATTCTGAGGCAAACAGAAAACTTTTCTGTCGTACAAGGAAAACATAGTAGTCATTTAAATTGCCCCTTTTTCTGTGCCTAAACTGAATATCAGAAAGCCCCAATTTGTATTGTAGTTTTATTTCAATGTAAGAAAATAAAACCAACTATTGTTATCACCAAAACAATTACAAAAGAAAAAAAAAAAAAAAGCAGTGGAGGAACATTCTAGAAAAACTACAGGAACAATAATAATATCCTTTACTGTCAAGTCAATTCTGACTCATAGCGACCCTATAGGACAGAGTCGAACTGCCCCATACATTTTCCGAAGCTGTAAATCTTTATGGAAGCAGACTGCCACATCTTTCTCCAGGGGAGTGGCAGGTGGGTGAGTATTCACCAAGTGCTAATTTCCTGTCATCTCAAATATTCTGGCAAAGAACCTGAGTCCCGGGTTAGTCAGAGGAGGAGGGAAACATTTAAAAAAAAAAAAAAAAATGTCTACTCTTACTGCCTCGTTGACATTTCTCTGGTCATATTTATTATTTGTGGTCACTCATCACTCTTAAAAATATAAAAACTCCACTGGTGTTACTTTCAGTAGATATGATTGCAAATTATTTGTCATTACCACAAAAACCCTTTGTGGATCCCACACTGCTGGTGCAGCCTTCTGGTGGTTTACCCAAGAGACTGACGCATGAATGGAATTTTTATGACTTCTAAAAAGAAAGAATACATTCTTTTTAACTTGGTGCTTTTCTTGGTCAAATAAACGACTGCTACCACAAAATACTCTTTCTCCTCTTTCTTTATGTTTTTCACTTTCATCTCCAAATGCTTTATTCCCTGAATCTTGCACTTTCTTCATTGACATTTGCCTCCTCAATCATGTAATCAAGTTATGCCAAAAGTAATAGTAAGGTTACTTACTGGTGAAACTGCTCTAGAGTTGCTATTCCAAAAATATATTAACTTTTAAAATAGCCGTGTGAACAAAAGAAGTGCAAATGTAATAAAGCCACTTGATACATTCGCAATAAGTGCTACATATATTGAACTTTCATTGAGTGATAGATTTATCTACAATACATTATTTCTTTAAATCAGCTGATAATTGAGTCTATTCTTTATATGTTGCCTCCATCATTAATTATGATTAAATAAGTGCCTTGTTAGCCCAATCCATCTTCTAGACATTTTTGAAGTATACGGGATGGATTTTTTAAAATATAGATATTAATCTTGAATCATTACTACTAAGTAACCACATCAGGGTTGAACACCAGTTTTACATGCACTTACCTGGCTATTTATAAAAATACAGCTTTCACAAAGTGAAATTCCCATTGATTTCTGTAACTGATAAATCGTTTTGGATGGAAGTGTTTGTAATAGAGTTTTAGTTCATATAGGGAACACCAGTCTCATAAATCAGGGGAAAACCTGAGTATGGCCTTAAAACTTTCGTTGACACAAATAATTCATTTGTTTTTATTTTAACTACTTATACAACTTTTAATTATCCTTTTCTATTTAAAACGAAGAACTTTATATAACATGAAGACTCTTTATATTGTTAAAAACACACTTTGGATGATTGAAAACTTCAGCTTCCCATATCAATTCAAATTTGGGTAAACCTTATCCATTCCCTGTTCTTTGATGCTCTCATTATCTGCAACATGAGATAGAGTTGCAAAAGCTCTACCTAAGAGATGGTTTCACCACCCAGGAACATTTTCTAACAGGTAATGGACCTAAATTCTAATGCCAAAGCACCTTTCTATCTTTACCATTAGAACAGAAGCTCTGAAGATAGTAAGATCCATTACCTAGCACCTAGAAGGTGCTCAAATAATATTTCTTGAAAAAATGAAGGAAATCAACTGCTCATACTCTTCCCAAGGTTCCACCGCCGTTACTCTGCAACAAACACAACAACAACCCATTGCCATCGAGTCAATTCCGACTCACAGCGACCCTATAGGACAGAGTAGAGC